AAACCAGTCGCTAGACATTTTAATTTACCTAATCATTCTAAGCAACATATGGCAATCGGCGGTCTTTCCTTACACTAAGGTAGCACGGAAAGCCGTAAAACTCTTGAACAAAAGCTCATCTTTCAAACCGGCAGTCTAAATCCCACAGGTATCAACGAACGCTTTTCATTCCTCTAATTTATTTGTGTTTTTCTCGTTGCCATGTTCCCACCAGTCACGTAGCTACATTTTCTGCCTTTAAAAGCACACACAGCCCACAATTTCTCTATTCGCTCCGACGAAGGGCTAACGCTCGAAACGTCTGCTTCTATAATCGTAACGGTGGCCAATTTACCATTTCAACTTTGTTGATATATTTAAATTATTTCGTTTCCCACACCGACGCAGCCCCAAACAGTTTCTTTAGAAACTATCAGCCTTTATCTATGAGCACAAAGTGTTCTCTGGACTATTTTCATTCATGTCAAATAACTTTAGCTCGTTCAATTACGGCGAGCACAGCGTAGCATACACTGATAAAACTAATTGGAGTTGGGTAAAAAAGATTCGGCAAAACTGGTTTTGACTTGTTTCACCAACTTACTTTTGATGTTTTCAATTGCCCCTCCGTGGAAATACACTGATCAAAGTCTCCCGTAATATCACATGAAAGTAAGCACGTGATGCTTCAACCAGGGAACCAATGAGGTTCCTGTAGCAGATATTTACATGATTGTTTTCCTAGAAAAGTTTATACTCATTCGATGATTGTTTTGGTTCTGTATTTGTAGAATAAGTAATTGCTTTTATGATTAACTGTCTGCTGTGACCATTCCAAAAATAAAGATGTATGTATGTAAGACGAAGGGGGGCATATACTGGAAAACTTTCTAGGGATTCGATTGTAGGAATCAGCTCATAACAGTTGAAAGTGGTTCTGTTGTTTCTACGAATTATTATGCATTGTTTAACCCGTTTTAAATCTAAAAAGGTACGATGTTCTTGAGAGAAAATTCTTGAAGAGCTTAATTATCCGTGAAAAATACTATTGCATACGTAATTAACTGTACTCTTAACTGTTGTGATCACACCACTGGAATAAAAACACCACCTTTTCCTTTACATCCTTCGATATTCTAAACAAGAAAGAAGTCTTATAAAGGTTTCAGTCAGACGAGATTGACGAGTGATCTTGGGAACTTTCTTTATTCACGAACAAAGTCCTTTGGTTAGTGGTGATAGTCAGGTTGATGGCAATAGCTGCCCGAGTGGTCGCTAAATCAACTGAACCCGCTCGACTGGGACAACTCATAGTTTGTGAGGGCCAAAGTGAAGAACTTTACCTACTATTGGAATCTCTCCCTGGCTTATATCTGTAATATGTTAATACCGGAAAACTTGAGTCATGATCTCCACGACACAAGAAGAAAATTTGCCTTCCGAGACAGAGAACCGTTGACCGCCTAAAGTGTAGTAGTAGTTATAACGACAACCATCTATTGATCAGTCACCCTGAGGAAGAACGTAAAGCAAACTCAAGAGTCCCTTTTAGAGAAATACTCACCCAACAACACTCCCACACCTTAAAAATGTAGAGGGGTTAGTATGCCTTTGTTGTCCTTGTTGTTGCGTCGGTGTGGTTTTTGTTTGACGTTTGTAAGGTTTGTTTGGCATCTTACAATCGCTATCGCAGAGTAGCAGCGCTTTGCTTTCGCCGATATTTTGTTTTGACTTTGTTCAGTTTCCCAACGTTTAAGTATACGCGATCATACTCCAGCCTCTTCTGCTTGTCAGCCTAGCTTATCGAATTTCATGGTGTCATTTTAGTTAAGACTACCTACGGTGGAAATAGAAGTCCCTTTCGCTGAATAGTTTATGGCGATTTCGATCGACTTCCTTTTTCCTTTACTTTGTGAGAGGCGCGGTGGCCTCGTGGTTGGTGCGCTCGACTCCGGATCGAGTGGTCCGGGTTCGAGGCCCGGCCAGAGACATTGTTGTGTTCTTAGGCAAGACACTTTACTCTCACAGTGCCTCTCTTCACCCAGGTGTATAAATGGGTACCGGCAAAATTAATGCTGGGG